ATACATGCTTTACTGAAACAGCTCTATTGTCAAATGTCTAATAGAGTACGACCAAAACTAAAGTACGTTTAATTCTAAACACCCTTTGAAAGGTAGCCGGTGAGCCTTTTAGCCCCATAGTTAATCGTTTCCATTGATATTGTATCCCCTGGACTGTGAATGCTGTATACTAGAGTGGTTCGATTTTGACATTTTTTCAAGAATCAAAAATCGTACCCCTATAACCTCTGTAGGAAGGTCATAGAAACATGACTATAACAAAGAATTCGAAAAAAAAAATGATTTTTGGTGATGCGCGGCTCCAGGTGGTTTTTGAAAAAAAACAAATTTTGATGAATTTTGAGCACTTTAAAATTTCAATAAAAAATGGTCCACCGGGAGTTTTTTGGCACGAGAAAGCCGAATCTGGCGTTAATTTTGCAATACAAATAATTTTCGACACTTTTTCCATGAAAAAATCACAAAAAATGTGGAATTTTGTGTTGAAGTTTGATGTTATTGCCTGTTTGATGTTGTAATGACATGAAACTTTGCACAGAATGTTTTTTCTGCAAAAAATAATATACCGAAAGTTTGAATAAATGGGAGATACACTTAATTTGTATTGATATTTATTCGTTGTCCTTTTTTGTCGGTTTTTTCTATGTCTCCTCTTTGTCAGGTCGTCTGTGGTTCAGTTTTACTTTTGACACTTTTATTTTCACTTTTTTAGTCACTTTTTGCGATTATTTTTGCCACTTTTTCAAGAACGCAGCGCCATAAATTGTAATGCTATTATTACAACTGAGATGTGAGTGGTAAGGAAATAAATACTGATTGATTCGCGAAAACTTGATTTATTAAGTGCATAAAGTGAAATATCGAGCGTTTTGAACTCACTTTCTTCACGTAATTTTGCAACTGTCAAATGAACTGTCTAATGTGTTTAATGTTGTGTTGATACGTCTAAGCGGAGAGTCGTTTCCAATGTCAGTAGTTGGGGCTCGTTGGTCGAATCGTAGTTAAATCGAATCTCGAGTGTGACTTCTATTCTCATTCGGTTGTTGTCCCAGGTCGGCCTCGCATTGTTTACGTCGAGCGAAATAAACAAAGAGGGTGAGTGAATTGAAAACGCTCGATGCCGTTGCATGCAAATGAACGCGAGGCGTAAACAAAAAACGCTCGATGTCCGTTCGCCACATTTGGACTCATGTTTGATTTTGAAAAAAAAACTATAAACCCAAAAACAGAAATTGTGTCCGGGACAGAAATACGATTTTTTTTTTGAAAATCACATTTAAAAAAAAAACGAACTCAAGTCCGGGACCTAGGGGTTGTACACCGCTTGCAAATGAAGAATATACAGCAACTCCACGATTCTCGCTATTCTTACAATTAAAGGTGTCACCGGACACGGACGGACAAAAAAAAACGTACTGTCACCCGTTCGTCCGTCCGAAAGTTTTTTAAAATGTTCGGATGTTCGTCCGGTGTTCGAAAAATTTTCCGGACAAATTTAATGTCCGACCGTTTGTCCGATATTTAATTTTTCGGCCGGACGATCGGACATTAAATTTGTCCGAAAAATTATTCGAACACTCGAACAATGGCTATTTTCGGACAATCAGACGAACATCAATAGATCGGACACATTTCGGACGGACGGACGGCCTTGTCAGTGCCCCTTTAGAGATAAAAAAAACTCAACTTGAAAATTATACAATGTAAAATATTGTGACACAGTCTGTGACAGTCTGTGTGGTATAGTATGTTCGAGTGAATGAAGCATGCGCATCTAGCAACACTTAGCTGTTTTAGTACTGTTGCAAAAGTCACATGTGACATTAAATAAATGAGTGTGCAATTTAAATTGTTGAACATTAAGTTATTGCTGCTATTAATTGATAAAAGTTTTATCATAAAACCATGACCGAAATCGCTGTTGAGCGACTTAATGAAGAAAGAAAGGCGTGGAGAAAAAGCCATCCATATGTAAGTAGTTTTTTTGTTTTCATTTCAATCGAAGTATGACATTTCTTAAAAAATATATTCGTAGGGCTTTGTTGCGCGTCCAACAAAGAATCAAGACGGAACTTTGAATTTTATGATGTGGGAATGCGCAGTACCAGGAAAAGCTGGGGTAATACAAATTGTTTTTAAACTGTGTATCGTTATATAAACTAACTAACTTCCTTTTTACAGACACCATGGGAAAAAGGGCTGTACAAATTAGAAATGGTTTCCGATAAAGACTACCCGATAACTCCACCACAGTGCATTTTTAATCCAGTCATTTTTCATCCCAACATTTTTCCATCTGGTTCGGTATATTTGCCTCTAATCAGGGACAAATGGGTCAACACAACCACAATCAAAGACATTTTGATTGCCATTCAAGACCTTTTGAATGATCCCGACATTGATATTGCAGCTCAGGCCGCTGCATATACTATTTATTGTTTAAACCGCGAACAATATAATGCACAAATTGAACTTCAAGCTGACGTATTAAATGCAATCGATTACAATGAAAGTAAGTAAAATGTGAATACATGAAATTAAAAACGTTTTATCATATTCAATGAATTTAGTTGCAGTTGGAATAAACGAGACACATGATTCAAAAGCAAAAGGTGCAATTGATGTCAATGAAGGTAGGTAACATACCATATTCAAATTGAAAATAAAAATGATTTTCAATGTTCAATAAATTTCATCGTAGTTCAAGGGAACGAAGAGTCCGATTCGAATACACAAGATGCATTAGGTAATCAAATCTCAAGTGCTAAACAACACTTGGAGTTGTTGGATGTCGTCGATGACCGTAAGTTATTATACATTCAAATTGAATATTTAAAAAAAATTGCAACGTTCTTCGGCTTTCGTTCTAGTTGAAAGGGGAGCGATTGGTGGCCGTGACGAAGAGAATAATCTGGTCGAATTGCAAAGTCAATTATTAAGTACATCGCAACACTTAAAATTGTTGGCAGGTATTGAATTGGTCAAACCGAAAAACAATATTTCATCATTCGAATGGGCCGATTTGGCAATTTCAAACGGAACCGAACGTGCTCTTATTGCAAACAAAATGAATCGGCCATCAGAATGCCAAGTAATGCATGAAATCAATGATAAATTTTAATATATGAAATGTTCAATTAATAGATTATGTTTATTATTTTCAGGTTCACGTGTTGACTGTTCTTTTCCAAAAAAAGGTTAATGTGGTCTTACAATGGCCGAGTGGTACAGGAAAAACCGTTGCAATGATCTTGGCGGCAATCGAAAGCCTTAACGCAGAGCATGCAACTGAACCACAGGTGTTGTGCTTCTGTGCAACGGCAGAATCAGTTTTTTATACAGCTGAAAAACTTGCTGCTTTATCGCGACATTTGAATTTCACATTTGGAAAAATTACACGTCAATTTCAGTCAGAAAATCTGCAAAAATGTCAAATTATTATCGGCACTACTCTCGAATTGCGCAAAAGAATTAAAGATATGGCATTACCGTGCCTAAAATTAATTTGTTTCGATGACGCAGATGTAACATTGGCACATTCTGACCTGACAGATGGAATTTTTCAAAAGACGCAAATTGCGTGTTTCTCCACAGTCTTATGTGTGTCTGTACATGGAAAGGTTCCGAGTCCAGTGGTAGTTTTCAACACACCATATCGAGACATTTTGAACAAAACGCCAGTTCAACATTTTTACTTGCAAATTGAAGATGACAACAAGCTTTGTTACTTAGAAAGTATAATAGCTTCAATGATTGAAGATAGATTGGTTGTATTTTGTCAGGTGATGATCATTTTTAAATTAAGAATTTTTACAAATAAATATATTCAACTTGATTCGATTCATCTCCTTTAAGAAAAAAGCAACCGTATTGTGGCTCCAAAGAAAATTACGACATATGATTGCCGCAGTCACGGGAGACATGGCACTGCAAACCAGACAAAATGAATTAAACTTGTTCCTGAAGGGTGAAAAAAATGTTTTGGTGACAACCAATTTATGCTCAAGAGCTCTTGATATGTTTGCGAACATTGTGATCAACTACGACATGCCAGAACATAATGGAACATTGGATACAAAGTCATATTTGCTGCGTATTGGACGAACTGGACGGTATTTCAAAAATGGAGTCGCTTTGACTTTTGTCAAACCTTCATACAATGATTTTACTGTGTCGATTAGCTCACACTATGGCGTTAAAGTTAATTCATTGTGAAATAACAATTTGATTTATTCTGTTACTCATTGAACTCATTATTATTATTATTATTATTGTTGACAAATAAACAGATTCCTATTTGAATTGAAAACAATTTGAAAATAGTTGACATTCTCTCAATCGCTAAAACATTTCAAAATGTGATAAATAAAATATTGTTTGGCTTAATTATATGATTTTCATGTCGTTGGTCTTCTGAAATTGATAATTGTTGAGCATCGAGTTCATCGTGAGATATAAAACTATCCAAAAATCTTACCTATTTGATAAGGACAATCAATTGACAATTTGTAAATATTTAAACTAAAGTTAAACAATTCAGCGATGATCCCATTTTTACCAATTTATTATGCTTTATTTATTTAAAAAACAATTACGTGCAAGAATTAAATTATTTACATTTTCAGGCTTAAGCATAGAGCGTTTGTCCGTTATTATATTTCCACTGGTGCTAAAATTTCTTTCAGAGCTTGCACTTGTAGCTGGTATACACTGTAATCAAACTAGATAGTTTATCATCTGGCTGTTCATTTCTCCGTAAACGTATTTCATTTTGTAATCGCTGCCTATCCAATGGTAAGTCGTAAACAGCTTCATAATTTTCAATTATTGCAGTTTGTAGTATTATACTAGTTACAGTGTGTCGTTTTAATGAAATTTTCAAATGCTTATTCATTCCACAATTCTTTATATATGATGACAAGGTTGATGCCTGGCCAACTATTTGTTTTACTCTCGTCTCTTCCAGCATATGCGTCACCAAATTATAAATCAAATGAGCGTAGCACGCTAATCTTTGAAATCCTGCTTTTATCAAACCATATCTTATATTAGCCCCTCGATCAGATAAAAATATCATATTTTTTTTAACATCCTCCTCTGAAATTCCATATTCGCCAAAACATTTCAGAATATGACCAACCAGAACTTCACCTATTTTTACAAAATGTAAATACAAGAGTCTTAAACTAAACAATGTTATATGTTACCATTTACCTGTCTTAACAGTGTCTGTAATTTCTGTTGTAGTTAGAACAAAACGATGATATTTCAAATCCTCTTTTTCTTTAATGCAGATATGTGCAATAATGGTTAAGTATGTGTTGTGTCTGTAATCATCAGTCCATGTATCAGTTGTGGCCGCCACGCCCCCAGATGTGATTGCACTTTTCATCAATACGCTGATATGTTCTCGATTTTTTGACGCTATATCAGCTACTGTGGCTTGGACGGTATTCCTAGTTGGCATAGCTGTTATTAAATCTTCTCTAGTTGCTTTTCGGTTACATTGTCCGAAATTCATACAAGCAACAGAAAGTTCCAATAAGCCTTGATTTGAAGAATATTAAATTAAATATGTACAATTTGTAATAAATCACAGAATCTAACATTTTTCATTGAAACATATTAGAATTTAATATTTCACCTTGAAATTGAACTGCAGAGAAAGGTCTCAAATCCAATGAGACAAATTTTGCTGCTGCTATCTTTAATTTCTCTTTATCCGATTGTTTTATAAATATCGTTTTATTATTATTATTGTCATTCCCAGCATAGCATGTATGCCGTAAGAGTTTGTTCGTATTGCCTTGCATATATGGATTATATATTATATTTGTGCATTCAGTACAGTAAACGAATGTATCAATTTTTTTCTTCATGTCATTTGTGTATACGTAGGCGACTATTTAAGTTTCTTCAATATGTATGTTTTAGTATTGCCCGATGCAAACCATTGTCATATTCGTTAAGTTTAACATTTTGTAGCATAAACGTTCTCAGAACGTTTTGTCATTCGATCGTTATTTGTATTGTTTACCGTAACATGTAAATTGCGTCTCAGCCAAAAAATGAATTTTACTCGTGAAAATTTTCGAGCGATTATTTTTTTCCACTTTCGATTGGGTGTATCACAACAACAGTGTTTTGATCAACTTCATTTGGCCTTTGGCGATGAAGTACCAAGTCTTCGGAAAATTTATAATTGGTACAACGAATTCAAGCGCGGTCGCCTATCGCTCATCGACGAGTTCCGCGAAGGTCGTCCAAAATCAGTTGTTGTACCAGAAAACATCGATGCTGTCAGAAATATGATAATGGAAGATCGTCATGTAACATATCACGAGATTGAGGCATCCCTGGACATTAGTGCGACCAGCGTATTTAAGATTTTACATGAACATTTAGCTGTCAGAAAGATTTGCTCTCGTTGGATACCACATAATTTGACAATCGCTCAAAAAAAGGCTCGTGTCGATTGGTGTAAACAAATGCTCAAGAAATTCAATCGTGGTGTTTCAAAATCCGTGTATTTTATCGTCACTGGTGGCGAATCATGGATCTACGCGTATGAGCCCGAAACTAAACAGCAGTCGACTGTATGGGTCTTTCAAAGTGAAGATAACCCAACAAAAGTTGTTCGAGCTCGAAGTGTTGCGAAGCAAATGGTCGCCTGTTTTTTCGCGATAAGTGGTCATGTGGCAACAGTTCCACTACAGGCTCGTAAGACCGTCAATTCTGATTGGTACACCACCATTTGTTTGCCCGAAGTGTTTGATGAAATAAGAAAAAACAACCGCCGTCGCAAAATAATTCTTCATCATGATAATGCGAGCTCTCACACATCTCATCAAACAGTCGATTATTTGACCGGTCAAAAGATCGATTTAATGGGTCATCCGCCGTACAGTCCTGATTTGGCACCCAACGATTTCTTTTTATTCCCGAGCGTGAAGAATAAACTGCGTGCTCAACGATTTTCATCGCCCGAAGAAGCAGTTGATGCGTTCAAAACACACGTTTTGGAGATATCACTTTCGGAGTGGCATGAATGCTATGACAAATGGTTCGAGCGAATGCAAAAGTGTATTGATCATCATGGCGAATATTTTGAAAAACAATAAAACCATTTTCGATGAAACCTCATTGTCTTATATATGTTTTTGAAAAAACTTAAATAGTGACCCTCGTATCTCATAAAATTGATTCCACACTGCAGAGATTTTTCGACCTTTTGCTTCTTTCTTTCGGATAATTAGATTGCCATTTTGCAAATTACTCTGAATTTCCAAAAATTTCTCCTCTGCAAAAACGAAATTCGTAAGATAAATATTACAATTCGTATCAGGAATTTCTAGGGGGTAGACACAATAGAGAATGAATGAATACCAATGAATTGTCATAATACCTATCTATTTTCAAATACGACAATTACTTACTTATTTGAAGATTACTTGTACTAAAAATGTGAATACCGTGATTACCAAATGTCAAATTGATATCGGTAATAAAGATTTCAAGTTTTTTCCATTTCGTTTTAACATTCACCATTTCGAAATTTATTTTAATTTTTTCTGTTTTCTTTCTGTCATTTTTATCAAAATTGTTTTTGCATTTATTAAACCAATTGAAATAATACACTTAATAGCGTTGAAAAAGTTTTTTTAATATTTGGAAGATAATATTCATATATGCACATTATAAGTTCTATCTACTGTGAGACGTTGCTGAATGCATTGACATTTCGTCTAAAACTGAGAATACCAAGAATACCAAGAATACCTTCAATTTCGGTGAATATCTCAAGTAATATTCCATGTGTCCACCCCCTAGAGGAATTTTACTCACGAAGCTCTTCATTGGAAATATGTGGCACATTTGTTGTTTTGTGTTGCAACCTTTCGATATTGTTACCGGCATCTTGCTCCAATTGTCGTCCAGTTTCAGAACCATTCGGTTCTTAAAATGTACAAAAAAAAAACAATCGCAATTTGCAAATATAATAATATTTTATATTCCAATGGAAAATTGAGGTTATGTTTTACCTATTTCAGCACATACAGTCGGAACGTTCTCAACATTTGGGACTTTAAAATTTAAACGTACAAAAAAAATCAATCACAATTTGTAAATATTGTTATGTTATTCCAATGGAAATTTGAGGTAATTTTTACCTATTTCAGCACCTACAGTTGAAACGTATGGTTCACCGTTGATGCAGCCATCATTTTTCATTCCAACGGAGATAACATTGATTGAAAACCAACCGTTGACCGTTTATTGGCTTTACTTCTACATATATTTAAGTATACGTATTACGTATATAAGTTCGTTGTGCGAAACTGTCAAAACACGATCAACAAACTTATATCTACATTGACAGTTTTATAAATGAACTTATTTATATTCATAAGCCGTACAACAATTAAAATAAATTTAGTTCTTGAATTTGATACCAATTATAACAAAAAATATTTAATTTCCAATGTTTTCAATAAATTAAAATTGCTTCATTAAATTGTTAAACCAATTTTAGTAAAAAACATCAAGTGTTTTATGCCAAAAACCAAATTCCACGATAGTAGATATTTAGACGAATCCGACTATCATTTACGAATCCGAAGCAAATGACGATTCCTAATACGAGAGTCCAACCCCTAGTCCGGGACACAAATTCTGAAAAGTCAGACTTAAATTCGCCGGACTTAAATTCGCCGGACTTAAATTCGCCGGACTCATTTACGTGATGCCGAAATTTCTACGAATTCGTAGTTAACTACACAGTAAGAAAATATCAGCCGACGCTATACGCAAAACCGACTGGTACGTGCGCTCATACGTTTTACAAAGAGTAACGAATCAGTCGAAAAATCGTATGGTCACTAGATGTAAAAGATTTAAAAACGTATGAGCGCACGTAGTTTGACAGCTGTCAGCAGAGACAGACGTGAAAAAAAAGCAATCGCTTAAGACGATGCAACATTTTGTGCGAAAAATTAAAATTTAAGCGGAAAACAAAAACCGACGAGCACAAAAGTTATATTTCCTTAAAGGAAAAGCCACGCTTCACGTAAATAAAGTGAAGATTAAAGCCAAAAGGCAAATTTAGTTAAAATCCCGTGTGTGAAAATTGTGATTGTGTTGTGTGTTTTTTGTGCCGGCAATCGTAACCTCACATTAAATTGTGGATTATTTTTGCGTCAATTTACACACACACC